AGTTGGCAGCCCTCTCCCCGAGGGCAGATAAGCGCGTGGCCGGGGCAGCGCGCCCCGTCCCCGTCCCCGCGTTGCGCAAGGCCCGCACCTCCCCAAGGCCGCGCAGGTGCAGGGTCCGCGCACCGCCTGCTGCCGCTCCGACAACGCCGGGCAGGGGCTCGACACAGCTGGTCCCTGGATACACCCGGCCGCGATCAGCTGCGCGGTTATGTAATGGGCACTGTTACATCACCAGCATATAAAGAGTCCTAGAGAGCAGAGCACGGGAGCTGACCCTGAGCGCCCTCCCTTGGGGCTGGGTAATGGAGACTGGAGGCAGCTCGGCCGGCGCACGTGGCAGGGGAAAGCTCGGGAGAGGAGGGCTCCAGGGCTCCATTCTAGGTTTCGCTTTAAACAACCCTTGGCCCTGAAGTGTCTCTTTATTACCCCGCAATAGGTAGGACATTCTATGGTAATAAAGCCTAGCTTATGCTTTGGCTATTGTGTTTGTTGTACAGATTAACAAAATGTTAGTGTGTACAATTAATCTGGGTGAGAGGGTGAACTGAAACCAGCAAAAGAAGAAGGGCACAAGAATTCTGGCATGTCCGCAGGCCCAGGACAGTAGAAACAAGTTGCTGAATGGACTGAATGCACTTTCTGTTCTAGTCAAAATATTTCTCTTATGGTAGCTCTTGGGCAGGGAGGTTTTGTTACATTAGTTGTATTCTTTAAAGAAGTACAGAAGTGGACTGGAAGATTAAAGAACTTCTGCAGTTTTCACATGTGGACACAGTTGAATGAAACCAGAGGATCAGCAAAGAGACAAATGAAACTGGAAAGATAAAAGACCTCAAACATGCCCAGAAGCTCCATGTGTAGGAGGCGGAAGGAGAGGTCTGCATGTTTACTGTGGGATGGGATATGTAAACCTTCGCTCTGCAGTAAAGGGTCACAAAGGTGCTCTGGCCTCTCTTACTTCTATCATGCACTCCTGCAATAGGTGTCAGGCTTGAAAGGCTGACCAGGAAGGAGGGCAGACCTTTCATTATACTTCATGTCTGGTGAGGAAGGGGTGACTGGGACTAATTGGGCATGTTTAACCTTTTCCCTGAAAGACCACAGGCCTGTGATGGGACTTAAGTTTGGACTACAACTGGGTACTTGCTAGAGTTTCTTTCAGAGAAGATAGGACTGATGCAGGATTATTGCTGATTTGTCATTAGGTACTCACTTGCTGGTACTCAGTAAATGCTTCTTGCTGTTAGTTCCTCTCCTGAAGGGAGCAATGACTAAATTGCTGTGCACCTAAATGGGGGCTTAAGGGTATTTTTTAGTGCATCTTGAAGTGATGCAGTTATGTGGTAAAGAATTTGATCTTTGCTGTAGGCTATATGAAAGGGGTGGGGGGGAGGGGAGAGGAAGGAAACCAAGTGAACAGACTCTATGAAAATGGAGACCTGAAAGGAAATGTGCCTGGATGCAGCCCTTTCACGGTTTGATGAAATGGGTTGGTTCATCGATGGCAACATGGGCTTGGACTGAATGGCAGAGAACCAGTGACAGCTGCTGCAACAGATGGTGGCCCAGCACCAACAGGCTCAGTGACAACAGCCACAGCTGATCTAGGAGCTGATGACCCACAGTAGGAACAGCAGCCATGACTTGTTTGGCAAATTCATTCTTTCCTACAGTTTCCAGGGATAGATAGAGGATCACTGAGGAGACCCCCCCCCCCCAGGACATAAGTCCCAACTCATTAAATCCAGCTGTGCCATTATGTCTGGCAGACAGGTGCCTAGGGAATGACCTGAGGCAGTCTCAGTGAATTGTGCACAGGGTTGGGGTGGAGGGGGAGAAAGTGTGATATTTATAGCACCATTAGCTCTTGGAGCAGTGGGACTCTTGTAGGCTCTGTTTAACTGGGGTAAGCACAGGCTATGGGTTGAAGACTGGTCCAACAGTATGCTAGACTGCCTGACTATTGGCAGAGAGACCAGTGGATGGGGAGCATCTCTGGGGAGTCAGGTCTTGCAGGTTGGCCAGGCACTGCAGGAGCTGGGCAGAAGAGAGTTATGGTTTCAGAACTCATCATGGCGGGCAATTTACTCCAGTATTAGTGGCCAAAACAAGAATGTTCAGAGACATAAGCCAGGGATGACAAAGCCCGCTTAGGTTCAACTTGAGTGCATGAGAAGCCTGCTGGGTATTCTATGGCAAATCTCCCACATCAAAAAAATATCTAGGAAAGTCTGGGAAGGGGACAGGAGGAGAAAGAGGCAATAGGGAAACCAGGATGTCATAGATAAACTCAGCTGGCTACTAAAGGGAAGCCAGGCTGATAGGGCTGGCTTTCTTGTGCAGTAAAATCCACCCTAGTAGTAGGCTAGGCTTTGACCTTATCAGAAGGGACTAGTCATCTGATTTTCATGTGGGTACCCCAGACACATGCACCAAGGTTGTCCATATATAGAGTGCCCTCCCAGTAAGTGTGTGACAGAAAACTAGGTCTGCACACTGACAACCTACCTATTTTTCTCCAAATAGGTGAGGCTGAGGGTGCTATAGTGGGGTAATTGAAGAGAAAGGGCAGCAGAGAGGAATTCCAGACATGAGCAGTCTCTCTTGGGGTGCCAGCTGGGCAAGGAGCTAGCTGCAGCCTTGTTGCCCAAATCTGCAGGAGAATGACAGGGAAGATAAGATCCTAAGATGAACCGATGATCAACTTTCTATTGATTTTAGATGAGATGATAAACCCCAATTGGGATGAGCATCCACTTAGTGGGAGGACTCTGACAGTGGCTCTTCTTCCTGGGCAAAATAGGTTCAGATCAACATTCAATATCTTTTTTTCCCCCCCCTAACATCTTCCTCTAGGAACAGATTATTTTAGCTAATTAGTAGTTCTAAATTAAAATAGTATTTAATTCTCTTCCCACCAGATTTCACTGGTAGTAAGAGTACAGTAAGAAAGAGACAAGGAAAATAGTCTAACACTTCAGAGATGCCGAGTTCTTGAAAGTCCTTTTAGGCCATTATAAGAAAAATTCACTCCAATGGAGAAGGCCAGTGCAAGAGTTCTGCATCAGTTACACCCACAAAATAGGGTTTAAGTGAGTCTTTAGCAGTACATGGGCTTTGTTCTGTCCCTTTGTAGGGGAATATATTTCATCCTGTTAGTGCTATTTATTTGTTGTGCTTGGTGCTGAGATACAGTAGTGAGGGGCACAGTAGAAACAGCTAACAGAGCCTGTGAACGTCTGTGTAATTGTTTGGGGGTTCTTCATACTGATCCAACACTCCACTGTTGTCAGACTTGCAGTTCAGTTGTTCATTTGACTACCTTATAATTCCAGAAGGAAGCATTAATTTAACACCTGGTGGGGAATGAACTTAGCTAGTACAAAACAAAATATCAGCTTGGACCATCTGAATCTGTCAGAGCTGATGAACAGAACATTGGAAAGGCATTAACAACTCAATCTTCCCTCATACAGAGAGTGATTTAACTAGGAATAAGAGTGCCCAACTATCCTTTCTACGAGTAGAGAGAGAGTCAGCTGTGTTAGTCTCAAGTCAGGCAGAAGGCAGGGTAAGGTAGCATCTTAAGATCATCCATCTAAGGCTGGAAGGGGACTGTAACAGGTCGCCCTCACCAGCACCATCTTTCCGGGTAATCTGTGCTTTATATGGGGCACCCTTGGAGCCTTCTTGGGAGTTCTTATGTCCCGCCCTGTACTTGCCTGCCATGTCTTGATGGAAACTATTATGCTGATGTTCTTGCGAGCAGGAGACTGCCTATTGTATTGTATGTGTTGGGGCCTTTCACCTACGTGGGCCTGGCCCCTGTTTTTGTCTAGCTAGGCCTCCCTGTCTAAACCCACTAGACAGGGTTTGACTCAGAGGCTGTAGCCTTTTCTGGTGTCTTGGGGCTTATGGCCCCCTTTCCTGCTCCAATCTGGAGCCTGGCACCCCATGGGCCAGAGGTCCGGGTGCTGGCCCCATACAGCCAGGGGGCTGCAAGTTCAAAACCAGTGGGGGATAACCCCAAACTCGCACCCTCTTGGGTCAAAACTAAAAGCCACCAAAATAAAATTGCACCCCAGGTGCACCAGCCCTCCCTGGCCTTTTTAAGATCTTGCCCTCACTGGCGCCGGCATCTGTGCCCCCCAAAGCCACACCCTCGTTGGCACCAGGGTCCCCACTCTGTAGTGGGTCCCCAAAATGAGGCTGCTTCACCTAAGCCACCAGTTTTATTCAATAATCACAAAAAAGGAAAGAATAATAACTGTCCCCAACCAACACGATGAAACAAAGCAGCTGGCCAGCTCACATTTGCAGGGCTCGTTCCTCAGCGCCCTTCCATTGGCTACAGTCCTTGCTGTGGTATGGATGCCATCTCCCCACAGCTTCTGTAGTTCCTGCCTTTGGACCGCTCGCCCAGCTTCTCTGTGGAGCTCTCAGAGGCACTCCTTGTCCTTCAGCTACTGTCCCCCTTGCTGCCACTCTGCCCAGGTTTTTATAGTTCTGCCCCTTCCAGTCAGTTGACTAGCTGGCCAGGCTCAGCCTTTAACCCCTTACTTACCAGCATTCCATGCCCAGGAAGTTCTGGACTTAAAGGGGCGGACCTGCTTTCTGGTGACGGGGGCAGGGTTTCCTGTTGCAGGGACTCACAGGGTCATCTAGTCTTGCCCCTTGCTCAAGGCAGGATCATCCCTGACTGAACCACCCCAGCCAAGTGTCTGTCCAACCTGTTCTTGAAAATTTCTAGGGATGGAGATTCCCCAACTTCTTTAGGTAGCTGGTTCCAATGCTTGACCAGCCTCATAGTCAGAAAGTTCCCCCTAACTTCCAACCTAATTTCCTGTGCTGCAGCTTGAGGCCATTACTCATAGTCCTGTCCCCTACAGTCACAAAGAAAAGCCCATCTCCATCGTCTGTTATTTTCCTTTAGGTATCTGAAGATTTGAAGACTGTAACCAAATCCCCACTCATTCTTCCCTTCTCCAGAATAAATAACCATAGCATTTTTCAGTCTTTTCTCTTAAGTCGTGCTTTCCAGCCTTCTAATAATTTTTGTCACTTGCTCCTGGACTCTTTCCAATCTGTCCACATTCTTGAAGTGTGGACCCAAAACTGGACACAGTACTCCACATGAGGCCTCACCAGTGCTGAACAGAGTGGAAGAATCACTACCCTTGTTTCCAAGTGTTAATACAGCCCAGTATACCGTTGCTTGTTTTTTTTCTAATAAGAACATGCTGTTGACTCATATTCAACTTATGGTATACAATGACCCTTCTCTGCAGCACTGCAGCCCAGCTAGTCATTTCCCAGTCTGTATTTGTGCATGCAGTTATTTTGTCTCAAGTGCAGGACTTTGTACTTGTCCTTGTTGAATTTCATTTGGTTGATTATGGATTATTATTTCAGTCAATCCAAGTCATTTTGGATCCTAGTCCTATCCTCCGGAGTCTCTGAGATTACACCGAGCTTGGTATCATTCACAGATTTGCTAAGTGTGCACTCAATTCCATTGTCTGTATTATTAAGATATGAAACAATACTGGACCCAGGACAGACCTACTTGATACGTACTCTCAGCTATACATCTTGCCGTTGATGACTACTTGTTGAGCACAATGGTCCAACCTATTGTGTCTGCCTTACAGTACTTTAGTCTGTATTTCTTTAGCTTGCTAGGAAGAAGGTTATGAGAGACCAGGGTGAAAAGCCTTGCTAAAGTCAAAGTATATCACATCCACTGCTCGTCCTCCCTACTCCTTCTATCCACAGAGCCTGTCACCTTACAGAAGGAAGTGGATGTGTAGGTGTATTGTATATGTGTTCTTTTCTCAACCATATGGACACTTACCCACCCTAGCTGACTTGGACTCGCATCAGTTAGGCCACCAGTCACAGCCAATCACACAGGAACATAAAATGTACCCATTAAGAAAGGCATAAGTTTTTGCTGGTAACAGCCTGTTTTGTCAAATGCAATGAACTGAAGCCACTAAGCCTGCTTCATCAGATGCTATGACTGGACATTGCTTATGAAAGCTTATGCTTTTCTGAATGAGTTAGAAGACAAAGGGCAGGACAGGGTGGTACCTTAAAGATGAAGGGTGTGACAGTGGCCTATTTGCATGTGCATGTGTTGGGTGGCATAAATGCTGCAATGTGTACGGCCTGCAGAATGTGGGCCTGGCAACCATGAGAAGCTACAGGAAGATCCAAGAGACAGACTAAGGGACATCCCATCACCCATGGACCTGCTCCCCAGCAACGCATGCCAAGTCATGTGGGAGTGCATCCACCACAAAGAGCTGCAGAAAGATCACAGGGACCTAAACTGGCTCATAGCCCACCGAGCTCTACCAGTGAGAGCCCGGAGACATAAAGAGGGACAGCTGGGGAGACCCAGCTGTCTGTGGCCCAACTGCCACGGGGCTACCAAGACAATCGAGCACCTTCTGTGGCTCTGCAGCTGCACCAAGGAGGTGTGGAAAAGGGTGAAACAGCTTTGCGAAGCAGTGACTGGCATCAGCCGGCTAAGCAGTGAGGTGGTGTTGTATGGGAACCTTGCCAAACACCAGGGGAACTCATCACCCCGTTTCGACCAGTTTGCCTCCTGTGTCAGGCGTGCCCTGTGGAAGGCTAGGAATCTCCTGCTGTACAGACAAATAGACGTAGAGGTAGTGGGCTGTGTGGAGATAGCGCTGAGTGAACTGCGGACCTACTACCAGAAATTGGTAGCAGAGGATGGAGAAGACGCAGCAAACGTCATCTGGCATAGGACCATACAACCCCCCCCCGAGTGAAGAAGGGAGTGAAGGCAGCAGAGAAGAGGAACAGACAAGTGAAACAGAGGACAGCGACAGCACCAGCAGGTCCTCCAGCAGAAGCTGGAGTGACAATTACAGAGAGGCCACCTGAACTGAGTATGTGACCCTGGAAGTGGGGCAGGGGTGGAAATGGAGGAAGGGCTGGTTGGAGGGACCAGAATGGACTAATGTTATTTTGTGTGTGTTGCACGCGTTTGCGGATATTGTAATGGGTTCGGGTGGCCAGCGGGCCTTTGTATGGGTGCACGGGTGCGAATTTCTGTAATGGGAAAGGTTTAATACTTTTGTGATGTAATAGGTAGAGCATAGATGTATATAACCTTATATAGAGAGAGGGAGACATACATTTTTACAAAAAAAAAATGTGTTGGGTGGCATAGTGAAGCTCTAAGTATCTTGCTCTCATAAGATTGTGGGAGGTAAAAAGAAAATTTGGGATTCTGGGACCGATAGGGCTCATCTACATGAGACGCTTACTGCGTGGTAGCCTAATAACACTGCACAGTTGCATGCTAGTAAAAAAATGTGCTAATATGCTACTATGTGGTGTTATTATTAGGCTACTGCACAGTAAGCATCACAAACAAACCATGTGCCAGGGCTACTGAAAATTAAATGTAGTTACTGCACATTTAATTTAGTAATTCATTGAGGAAATACTAAACTAAACATGCAGTAACTATGGTGCATTAATGAACGTATAGATGCGCTCACAGTAGACTTTGTATGTGCTCCCTTGATTTAAGGCCCAGCACAGATACCTTAACTCACAGTGAACCCAAAGGGACTCCTTACAGACAGAAGAGAATATTACTCATCCTCAGAATATTACTTATCACTATTTACAAGAACTGGACCCTTAGTTTGTAAAGTGTCTGTCTAAGGAAAGATATTCTGGGAGTTCATGCATGGCTAACTCAATGACAGATAAGGTTATTTGGGTATAGAATCACAGGAAGGGTTGGAAGGGACCTCGAGCTCATCTAGGTGATCCTCCCCCTCTATGCGACGCTGGTCAGGCCACAGCTGGAGTATTGTGTCCAGTTCTGTGCGCCCCATTTCAAGAGGGATGTGGACAACATGGAGAGGGTCCAGAGGAGGGCCACCCGCATGATCCGGGGACAACAGGGCAGACCCTACAGTGAGAGACTGCGGGACCTGAACCTATTCAGCCTCCACAAGAGAAGGCTGAGGGGGGACCTGGTGACCGTCTATAAACTCACTAGGGGGGACCAGAAGGGTTTGGGGGAGACGCTGTTTCCCCTAGCGCCCGCTGGCATAACAAGGAGTAATGGGCACAAGTTGATGGAGAGGAGGTATAGATTGGACATCCGCAAAAACTACTTCACAGTTAGGGCGGCTAGGAGCTGGAACCAACTTCCAAGGGAAGTGGTGCTGGCCCCTACCCTGGGGGTCTTTAAGAAGAGGCTGGATGCCTACCTGGCTGGACTCATTTGAGTCCCGTTTTTTTTGTTTTGGGGTTTTGTTGTTCTCCCGCCCTGGCGGGGGGTCGGGCTAGAAGATCTACTAGGTCCCTTCCGACCCTAAATCTATGAAATCTATGAAATCTAGTCCAATCCCCTGTTCAAAGCAGGACCAGCCTCAACTAGATTATACCAGTCAAAGCTTTGTTGAGCCGGATTTTGAAAACCTCCAAGGATGGAGCTTCCACCACCTCTCTGGGAAACCTGTTCCAGTGTTTTACTACCCTCCTAGTGAGAAAATTCTTCCTAATATCTACCCTAAACTTCCCTTGCTGCAACTTGAGACCGTTGCTCCTTATTCTGTCATCTGAGAGCAGTCTAGTTCCATCCTCT